TTTTAGAAAATCGCCCTAAAAAAATTTTCGCCCTTGAACTGAGAAAAATTTTCTATTTTCACGACAAATTTGCCATAAATTCAAGGCAGGTGACCATAAAAAAATATTTTTAGGGTTAATTTTTCTATTTTTCTAATAATTAGGGCGATTTTTTCGATTTGCTTCGATTTGACCTTTTCTAAATCCAACGGCGAATTGCCCTAATTTTTTTTCTAAAATTTGTCTAAATACAAGGGCGATTCGCCTTAAAAATCACTCCAAAAGTGTGAAATTCGGTAGCCCAGCGGTCTAATCACTTGCGCTTTCAACTTTGCTATATGAGGACTAAGGTCGTGGGGTTGTGGGTTCGAACCCTGTGTGATTCAACTTGATTTTTATTTTTTTTTTTTTTTGTAAACGTTATAATACTAAGGACATTTTTTCGTCCGAATTTTAAATTAAAGTAGTCTTTAAACCTTTAAAACGTATGGGAGTTCTGAGTTAAAAGCATCTTTGTGTTTGCTGGCAAGAAAACGGGACTAATTGTCACAATCGTCAGGAAAAAATATACGGTTTAGTTGCCTTTAGTCAAAATATAACGTAGACCTCAAGAAAATAAGATGTCTGCAGAGTTTGTTCGTTGCCTTGCGCGATGGGTCTGTGGTGCAGCGGTAGGACGTTAGACTCTAAACCGAGAGGTCGTGGGTTCGATTCTCGCAACGACCAAAAAAAGTAAGTTGTTTTTTCTCCTCATATTTATTTCCCTAATTCGTTTACAAACATGATTTTTCAGTTCTAACGGCTGTGTTGTATAGATCGGGCCCCCCTCTTAACGCAGCTCCCATATAAGCTACACACCAAAGAGCTGCAACGAGTCAATCATTTTCGGGTACACCCGATCATTTACTCGTATCCGTTTTGATTAATCGCTTCGGGTGAGCGAAATGAAATGAGCGGTGAGCGAATGCGATCGTGCCATGAATGATCGTTTGTGATCGTTCAAGTGTGTGATCTGATCGTGTGTGAACGTTCGGCTTGAAGATTTTACCCGTTTGTGATCGAATATTTTGTGCAATCGATTGGTGTGATCGTGCTTCGCGCCTATCGGTATGACAATGCAGTTCGTGTTATTGCTTTATATTTGGCACAACATATTTTTATATTTGCACAAAATGACAACAAGTAATAGATTTTAAAAGCGTTTTAGAACTAATATCAAATGGAAGCTACACGTTGTCAGGCCACCGGAAAGGAAAAAGTTTCATATGGAATAAATATTTCTCAATAAACATATATGTACACACAAAAATAAAACTTGGTAAAATCAACTGTAATAATTGTCAAACAGGCCCTAACCAGCAAAATTGTCAATTCTACTAAGTAAATAGTCATTTCACAATAACAAAATACACACAATTAGCAAAGACACAAACCCAAAGCAAAAACAAAATACACGTAACCATTTTAATAGTTACGTAACTATCTTTGTTGGTCAATTTTACCAAGTTTTTTTTTTTGTGTGTAATACATTGAAGTGCACTCTCCATCTATTTTATTTCGTCGTCACAAGAAATCATATTAATCCGTTCACAATCTATTCATGTACAACTGACTCGAGGTCGCAATCATCGGGAACGATTGAGCGCTTCGGAACGATCATTTTGTTCACCTACACCCGAAGTTCAAAATCACATCATTGATCGTTACGAAGCGAGTCGGGTAGTTGATCGGATCGTACTTTGGCTTTCGGGTTTGTTCGTGATTATTCGTTGCCGAGTGAGTTTACCGGATTAAACGAAAATGATCGCGCGATGATCGATCGTACTCGATCATACTCGTTGCAGCTCTCTGCTACACACCAATACAATAATATGAAACGGTGTCCTCCGCCGGTGTTGTTTAATTAAAGCAGCAGTCCCAGAATATAGACGATTAAAAAAAAAACATGCTTCCCAAATTCAGTTAAGCATGCTCAAACACGATTTTTTTTAATTTGTCTAATTTTTTAGGGCATTTGCCTATAAAATCAGAAAATTCGCCCTTAATTTTAGAAAAATACACCTTAAAATTAGGGCAAATCACCCTAAAAACAGGAAAATATTTCTTATTTCAAGAAAAATCACCCTAAATTAAATTAAATTTCCATCGGGATTTTTTAGAAAATTTTTCTAAATACACGGGCGAATCGCCAGCGGATACGATTTATGGGCGATTTTCTAAATCCACGGGCGAAAAGTCAGTTTTTTAGGGCGATTTAGGGTAAAAATTTCTATGAGTGTATGTATTTTATAGGTCAAGTTTAATATTAAATGCAATGGTAAATCTTTTAATATTGAGCATTATTCATTCTTCCAAATATTATAAAACGAATATTATATTTCTTTTTAAAATAATTCTTTGAATTAAGTTAAGATAACGTTATTAAGTTAATAATAATAATATTAACATGCCACTTATAGAAATAAAGAAAATGTTATGTTTTTGTGAATATGGATTCGCTTTTTTTCCTTATACATTTTTTTAAGTTTTAGCTCCATTAGAGTATCCCAATGCTTTGAAATTTTATTTTGACCACTAACTTCACCGACTACTAGCTCATGCATTACGCTTAATTATAGTTTATTTATTTAATAAGCCAACTTTTGTGGGCTGCTGCCTGGCCTGGTCCAAGCCCCTATGATTTGATTTTGCGCTTTAAGTTTTCGCAGCTCTTTGACTAGTTTTTGTGGCTTTCTGTGTGCAAACTTTAATTAAATCGTTATGCAAAAGTTCCACTTGTGTTTTGTCTGCTGGTTTTGGCTATATAATTTAGGAATGTACTGGATCAGCAAGTGTATTAACGATTAGGATTAAAAAATGTTATTTTTTCCCCTTCCATGCCAATTCATTTTGATTTATGTACTAATAACATCAGTCTTAAAAATAAATAAAAATGCCTTTCTTGTAAACTGTATTTTGAATGTGGATTTCCTTAGCTTTCGTATTTTCTGACATCGATTTGGGTCAAGTGTCTCGTGTGCGTTTCGTTTTTCAAGATTCTTGCGGGCCTAATTATCTAATTTTCAAATTAACAGCTGAAACTGCGCCACAGGCTAGAAAATCGTGCATTCGACCAGCATACAAAATAATCTGTTCAGGACGGTCCCCCATCCAATAATTTTCCAATTGTCAGTTGAACTTTGACTTGCTCTTGGAACTATAACTGATAACTTATAATTGGATTTTTATTGTAATTCGAGGCGTAAGTCGAGCTTATCAGTCACCATGCGAGAATGTTCATACGCATTCCATTTGATGCCCATAAAAATAGGGTTAAACAAATAGCGACAGGAAAATAATGTTTACATGGACCTCCGTCGACAGCTGCAACTGTTTTTCGTATCTTTTGTATCTGGGGGCCACCTGCGTTTGGATTTCGCACCTCCCGGTAAATGCGTGAATCATTCGAGCCAGCCAACAAGTGAATTAGTCATCATTAGTGAAAAATTACACTAGAAAAGTGTGTCCGAAGTGAAGAAATTCCATTGGCATAAGTCGGCCAGCAAGGCGTTATAATGCTTTTAAAAACAGTTTCAAGCAGCGACTTCCTAATGCACTATTTATAATAATTAATTAATTTCTTGATTTTTAATTTAATAATTGTTTTAGTGTGACAATAAATAAACTATTAATATGTTCAATATATAGTCTTTTATGATTGTTGTTTCCAAATTAAATATTTTTAAAGAAGACTTTAAAGATATAGCGATAAACATGTATTTTTAAGTATAAAGCTCTTTGGTCACTTAAAGTATATATTTTTAAGTATTTAAAATAAAACTTAGAAAAACAGAAAATTTTCTTTAAATCTCTGATTAATACACATTTTAAAATCAAAGTATAGGGCTGAAATATACGGAGTATTATTTTGAATCCGCTCTTTTCTGAATCTGGCTCAGCAACTCGTAAATGGCTCACCAGATGGTAATGGTAGATGGAGAAGGGAAAGATAGGGGATCCGAACAAGAAGAAGCTGGAGACAGAGACTCAAGTTGAAGTGCAGCCCGAAATGCTGCGGCGCATGCGCAACGAAGGCGATGTCGGCTTATTTATGGCCTTTGGTTTGGGGCTTTGGTTCTTTATTTTCTCTGTTGGTTTTCGTTTTTTCGTTTCTTTCCTTTTATTATTTTTTTTTGCTTCAGGTTCATTGGCTCTCGGGGTTTGTCTTTTGTTAAAATGCATTTATGGTCTTATTTCGTTGTAGTTCTTCTGCTTCCCTCTCAGCGCGAGAGAGTATGCCTGGGCAGTAGTTTTATATTTATTTTCTTTATTATTGTGTGCGCGCAGAAGACAAAGGAAAATTTCACAAGGCGTCGCCAGTTTGTCTGGCGTGTCTGCCCCGGCTTATCTTGCCTCTCTTTCTGATCGCTCTGTCAATTTGAGCAGTGCGACCAAAACAGCTACTTTCCCGACGGATCCAAAATCGAAAACACCTAAGTAAAAACCTTTTAGACATATAAGTCCTTTAACATAGACAATTTCTTCCTATTGCCGTTTAATTGTTTCTTCAAACATTAAAAATACAAATATTGTATGTACATTACACGGACAGAATTAAGCAAGTAATTAATAATCAAATTGAGAAAAAGAATATTAAAATTCATATTTTTTTTTAGGTTCGAAGTAAGTAAATACCAGTTTTATATTTATACTTTTGTGCATTTTAGTTACCCTTAAGAGGTTTCCCCTCCCTTTACTAATACTTTGACATATTTATTTCATGTTGCTAGAATTGTATAACACATGTTTATAACCTTACTCCTTACAACCTCCCACGATGTAATCAATTTTTCATACAAATACAATTATTTTTATATATTGTAGTAATCATTTGGTTGACTCCCTTCCCCCTCTAGGTGATTACGCAACATACTTTTCGACGACTTTTCTCATTTTACCCTGTTTACCCAATTTTAAGCGATTTTGTATGATAATATTTATTTTTTTAATATATGTTTATTCAATGCGTGAATTCTCATTTTGCGTTACATAATGAATATATGTATCTTCCGTATACTAAAGGCTCGTGAAATATTTTCAACTCGCACAGACGTTGTTACATTTAAACTAACGTATAAATTTTCTTCTCGTTGATTTTTAGAAAAGCTGCGACAGCAGATCAAAAAATTGGAAGCTGTTGTGTCCTTTGACGAGCAACACACCGCCAATCAGCTCCTGAAAATGATTTTAATGGAATATTATTACTTTTGGTATTACATTTTTGTACGAATTAAAATATTTTGACAACATATCAGCAATAAATCTATTTTAATTACAAATGCAACAATAGTTTAGGATTTGAACTTACATCGGTGACCATTCCAAATTCAGAACCGACCGTGAGTACCAAGGGATTATTTGACTGAACGCCGTTCATATGTAGAATAGCGATAGCCGGTGGAATTATCAAATTCTTCTTGAGGAGGCGACAACCAAAGACATCAAGTTTACGTAGCTTCTTGCAACGACCTAGCAACTGGACAATGCCCACACATGTAATGTTAGAAGAATTTTGAAGGCTTAAGCTCTCCAACTGCTGTAAGTTAGTAATAAAGTGATCGATGTACAAATCGCTTTCCAACTGACACTCAAGCCTCTTCAGGGCCTTCAACTTAGAAATGGTAGCGGCCTCTTCTAAATCGATGCATCGAAGGGTTTCTGGGCAAAAACGCAAGGACTCCAATGTAGTGGCGTACTCGGTTACAGTTTTGCCAAATATTTTGTTGAGTTTCATACGGTAATCAGTATTGTCTATAGTCAGATATTGTAGAGTCGGTAAATACGGTAATGGCGTGTAAAAGAGACCGTAACCAATTCTCAGTAATTCTATCTTGGGCCACAACTGCTCACCGCCAAGATCTTTGGGAATTTTAATGTTGCCGTACTTTATATGCAACGAATCCATATTTTTCATGGTCGAGCATATTTTATAAATATCGATTGGATCTCCTTTTTTGTTAAATAAAGTCAGCTCCGTCAGATTGACAAGCTCCTTTAGTCTTTCCACTGAAATTAATTATAGATTTATTTAGCGATTTTAAAAGCGATTTTAACTAGGAAGGGTTTCGTATTTCATATATATATATATATATACATTTCGTATATACATAACTAAAAAAAGTATGGAATAATAAACAAATATGATATATGCCAATGTTTGAAAAAAACATAGGGTAAGAAACCTCCATTGCGTAACCAAAATTATAATACTTTTTTAAAGGACTTACCATCTTGACGGTTGAAATTATACAATTCCAAATTAATTAGATTGGGTAACTTCAGCAAAGTGTCGACAACATTCACATTTTCGAAATCGTTAATGAATCCGACCCATTTTAGATTTTTCAAGGTCAACAAAAGCGGAGATATGTGGTTCCAAAAACGCCTACGAACTGCTAAGAAAAACTCGTCCAAATTGGGACAGAAATCGGAAGCCAATTTCGTCACAGCAACGGATTTGTTTACCGCTTGACTTGAGATTCTAGAAACGGATGGTCCACACAACGATAATATTTTTGCCCACTCAGCAATGGAACGTTCCCCGAAATCGATTTTCTTATAAGTATCTCCAGCTTGCAAGGCAAATGCTTTTCCCAGAACTGGATGAGTTTCGGCAAAATTAAGTTTATCCTTGATATCCAGTAGCTCCTTAAAAATTAAGGCAAGAACCTCCACCGGCAAATTTAAGATATTACAGGCAGACGCCATTTTTCTCAAAATTAAGCTCGAAGCGACCAGAGACCAGAGAATTCTACAAATGAATAAAGATAATTTCATAGAGATGGGGAAACATCGATAGAAAATCAATGCGTCGATGTTTTTATAAATTTTGTAAACATCGAACTTAATTATCGATGTCTTTCGTTTTTAGAATGTCTTGTACATCTTGTTAATCATTTAATATTTTGTTGGTCTTGTTGTCTAAAGTCGTGGAGGATATACATATATAGACAGTGAGCTATTTTACCATAATCTACCCAAACTTCGTTTAAGTAAAATGTACATACATATGTAGTATTTTTATTTGGAATCGGCATTTTAAAATATTAATTTTCAAAAAATATATATAAATAAAATATAAACCAAATTTCTTCGTTTCCAAAAAAAAATTGTATACATCGATGTTATATCGATGTTTTCATTGAATCCCCCCATTAATATCACAAACATACCAGTACTATCGAACAAACCAGTGCAAAAAGGGACTTCCCAGAAGCACTCCACTGATATGTATGTATACACATATTTTTACAAAAAAGTAATAACATAAATACATTTATGAAGAAGTAATAAAACAAGCTTTAATCCTGCATCATTAAATTGTTTGATTTTATTAGTTTCATACCTTTTATTCATGGTTAAAGTTGCAAAAAAAAACCGAATATTAATGTTACTCACTGTATGTACAATACATATCCACAAATGATATGTCAGCAGAAATTGGACCTTTCATCAATTGTATAGAGCAGGTTGCACGACGCGACTCGATCTAATCAAATTTTACGCAGCATTGATCACCCCAAAGACCCGACCCTTTTACATTGGCAAATGTTTCAGTTCTTTAGCCCTTCCACGGCCTGTTTACCAGATTTAAATGGAAATTCTCACGATTTTTGGATCTGCTGAAGTGGAGGGATGTCGAAGTGATAGGAGCGGATCATTTTCACACGCCTCTATTTTTCATGCGTTCTGCTTTCGCGCCTACTGCCAATTACATTCGTGCAACTGTCAGCCGTTCAATGACAATGGACAGCATGGGGTTAAGCCCCCCTCCTCTATTAACGACCTTATATGTAAGTATATATGTATATGTAGCACCAGCGATTTTCTCTTTTTATAAGTATGCGATATCGGGAATAGGCTTACACCGACAGAAACTTATATTTGGTAATATATATGTAAAAATGTATTATGTTTATATGTTTATGTTCATTTAATTATGAATAAACAGTTTGTATACCCTTGCAGGGGTATTGTGATTTTAGTCAGAAGTTTTAGGATTTGATTATGATATAAATGATACAAATTTGTGAAACAAAATTAAAGCTTTGGAGTTTTTGACATTTTATCTTACACTCTTGGAAATATCTTTTTTTATATCAGACGACTGTGTATGTTTATAATATAGCTGAACTTAAATATCATATACATACTTATGAATGTAGTTCCTTCCTTTCTTGTTTAATGTAATAATGAATTTATCTCCTATTTCCCTACCGAAAGACTCTGTAATTTTTTTCCTCAGTGAGCTGCAGACAATCAGAACCCAATTCATGCATATGCAACCATTATGTGAGGGAGATCAATTCAACAGGGTTCCTCCTCCGATCCCCTCGATCTGATCTGCATAGGCTGAAAGAAAGAGAAGGAGCGATTTGTACAGGTTATCCTGGCGATGTACATATGTATGTATGTATAACGATCGTGGCTGATCGCATTCGGATCTGCTTTTGTGCCTCACGCAATTTGTACGCTGAATAATGCCGAGCATCGCTATCAATTGCCTGACCCCTAATAACGAATTCGTGCCCAACTTAATTGCAGACATATTGATGAGGCCCAGGCCGGGGATAATCCTCCAGACCCTTCCCCTTCCCGTTTCTGGTTTCCATTTTCCAGAGTTTAGTTTTTTTTTTGCCATTTGCGTGTCATTTTCTAAGTAGAATTGGCATTTCTTTTATCTCCGGGGAGATCAGATCAGATATCAGAAAAGGTCCAGGGGCCGCAACAATTGAGAGTAAAAGTAAATGTTGTTGATCCATATCAGCCATTCCCAGTCCCCGTCGGAGATCGTGATCACTTGTTTGTTTAAGTTCTTAGCAGGTTCATCGTCATCGAAATGTTTCTGGTTCGTTGATTTACGAAAATATTAAATCCTTTTGTTTGCCTCGCCAACAGGTGGAGGATTGTCTCTCGTCCCGTCTCTTTTTCGCCTGCTGCGTGCTAATTGGATTATGTATTGCTTAATGATCCCTTGGGGATGTCGGGTGTTAATCACTTAAGCATCCAGCATATGGATCGCCATATTCTGCGGTCGTGCGATTAACAACGCCGAAAAAGGGAAAGTCGGTAAAATGGGTCAAGTATGTATGCTTGAAGGAATTGTATCCCTCATCTTAAATCGTCTTGTTGCTCTGAGGCCCAAACAAAGAATATGAATATGTGCCATTGAAGGGCACTTTATCAAATGCGTACTTGCGTGAACATTGTTTGCGAAATATTGTTTTCTTAAACTTAGATTTGTATACCCACTGGATGAATTGACATTTTCCAAGAGTTTCTGTGTGAAACGTATCGAATTTTTCTCCAAGCTCCTAAAATAATTTTCTAACTTTTTTTATTTTATTGATCTAAGGCTTTTTAAATATAATTCAAAAACACCAAGTATTGACAGCAAGTTTAACGCCAAATTTACCACAAAAAAATTAAAAATTAAATTACCCATCAACATAAAGATAGACAGTATACTTTGTTTTCTATTTAATTAAATGCATTAGAGAAATACAGCTATTTATTTATAATATTAAAAAATAAAATCAAAACCAATTTTCTTTGTGTTGCAAATTTAGATAGACAGTATACTTTGTTTTCAATTTTATTAAATGCATTAGAGAAATAATGCTTTTTATTTATAATATTAAAATATAAAATCAAACCAATTTTCTTTGTGTTGCAAATTTAGTAATTACAATGTCATGTTTGGTCTAAGAAAAATTATATTAATATATACGTCATTTACCTACATATAATATAACAAGAATAAGATAGTTTTAAAACCTTTAAGACATCATGCGACCCCTCAACCAAAACCTGGCTACGCCGCTGGGAGTAACCCTTGATTTTAATGGCCGGAAGCTAGCAAGAAAACAGAAAGTTCTCATAGATCAGAAGTCTTGACCCCATACAATTAAAAAATCGATTGATACATGAGAGTAGCTCCAAATGATATTTGTATAATTTGTTAAGCAATTTAATTCTCACACTTTGCTGATTTTTCCACATTTTCTTAAATAAACAAAACGACGAAACCTCACCTGGGTGCGGCCCCATCTTGAAGACGTTGAAAACCGGGGTTCCCAACTCCCACACAAGTGCTCAGAATGGCGTGAAAACGCTTGTAGTTGGTGGGCATTATTCTCATTTAACAATCGAATGCACATGACGGGGTTTTCCTAGAGGGTTGCAGAGATACAAAGAATAAATAACGAATAGCCCATCGAACAAATTAATTTACTTTTGCCATGGAAGAGTGCGCAGGCGCAGGTTGCTCATTGTATTTTTTTATTTTGGGTGTGTTTAACCACAGAGTTTTGTCTTCGGGAAAAATATGATTTAATATGAAGTCTTTGATTTTCTTGTCTGGATGGTAAGAGTTCTCGATAAGTTTCTGCCTTCGTTTTGCCCCATTGCACATTGGTCGAGCTTCGGTGATCATCAAATTTATGCGGAGCAACTTGAAGAACTTGTACCTTAAACACATTTAGAATATTCATATAAATGTTGGACTCTGCGTGGGAACTTTTATGTAGTACTTTCTTATTAATTAAGAAACTCGATCATGCGGAACTCGAAAGCAATTATGGGGCTTATTCATTAGGAATTTTTCTTAGAATATTTAAACTTGAAATTCTTCATCGCAATTACTTTAAGTATTATTAAATATATATATCATATCAGATTTAACCAGGTTTTTCAAGTCTATTTGATGGTGTTTCCTAATATTTTCGTATTGAATTTCACAGATAAACGCACTTCAACTTGTCATATTCATCAATTTTTCCAACGCATTTTATGGGTCTTTAACTGCAAACGCCAACAGTTGGAATGGGATTTCTCCGGCCAGAAGGGCTGAACACTTGAGAGTCTAAATATTCCTGGAACGCACGTGTTGCCCAAGTGTTAAAAATGCATTTGTGGAAAATAAATCAGGGCAGGCCAAAGGGGCGGGAACGGCGGGCATCGTCACCCAAGTTGAAACTAATTTTATGCATGACTTTTTACACATTCCAGCAATATTTCCCCTGACAGCCACTCCAGCATAGTTGGACAGTTTTTACTTTTGTTTCACGGTCTCGCCGAGGCATTCCTGCCGTTTTCCCTTTTCGTTTCTTTTTTGTTTTGGGTGTGAGGCATTTTATGCACAGTTAAGTTAATCTGCCCTAAGAGTACTTAGCAATCCACAGGCATGTGTCATCCTCTCACTTTTTCACTTTTCTCGGCCTCCGACACATGAGACGACGTCGTCTCCTGGTTTCTGTTTCTGGTTCTTTTGGTCCGTGCCACATAAATACCCACTTGAGGCAGGGACCTCGGACTGCCACCGCCGGCGGTATTAGGCTCCGGATTTCGGACCATTTGGCGGCTTTCGATTTGGCATATGTCACGCAGATCATCAATCCGTTGGTCTCGCCTTTTCACCACAGCAGGCTGAAATTGTATCCCAAAAGGTTGTAGTATTAAAATTTAAAATTAATTATTTAGTTAAAAACATTTAAAAATTTATTCAATAAAAATAAATATCTTTTATATCCTTTCTAAATTATTTTCAATTTTGTTTGTTTGTTTTAAAGATTAATTATGACATACTTTTAAAATTCACATTAGGATTTACCCCATACTTTCTTGTATTGTTCCAATTAATTACTTGACCTAGCATAGCACTAATAAGAGTTTGTATCAAAAAATCTAAACAAGGAATTTGTTTTCTATTAAGAAGTTAGAATCCTGTTTAATA